CATTAAACATATTATTGTAAGTAATGTACGTACACAAATATGTACTACATACGCCGTCGCTGGATTTCTCTACCAATGCGCTGCGCATGCGCGAGAAAGCGTCTCCGAGAACAACACTGGAGAGCGATAGCATGCGTAGAGTGAGCGAGATGGCGCGTGCGGTGTATAAGCGAGTGAGACAGCGCGAGCGGTGTGCGTGCGAGGAGTGGTACCCGTTTGACCACGTTAATATTGACCACGTTGAGATTGACCACGTTGCGATTGACCATGTTGATATTGACCACGTTGATATTGACCACGGTCCCGATTGACCACTGTCCCGATTGACCACTGTCCTGATTGACCACAGTCCCGATCGACCACGTTGATATTTACCACAGTTCCGATTGATCACGGTTCCGATTGACCACGATCCCGATTGACCACGGTCCCGATTGACCACATTGATATTGACCACGGTCCCGATTGACCACGTTAATATTGACCACGGTCCCGATTAATCACGTTTATATTTTGTCAACGGTCCCGATTGAAAAACCATGTAACACACACACACACACACATGCGGGGGGCAGGGGTGCAAGGGAGGCCTTCGGCCCCCCTCCCGCAACCCCTTCGCCAGTCAGGCACAATGGACCTCGCTTTACAACTTGCAAAGTACATGCCCTAGTAGCGACATGTATTGATCCGTGGTCAATATTAACGTGGTCAATATCAACGTGGTCAATCGGGACCGTGGTCAATATTAACGTGGTCAATCGGGACCGTGGCAATATAAACGTGGTCAATCGGGACCGTGGTCAATATTAACGTAGTTAATATTAACGTGGTCAATATAAACGTGGTCAATCGGGACCGTGGTCAATATTAACGTAGTTAATATTAACGTGGTCAATATAAACGTGGTCAATCGGGACCGTGGTCAATATTAACGTAGTTAATATTAACGTGGTCAGTGGTCAATCGGGACTGTGGTCAATATAAACGTGGTCAATCTCAACGTGGTCAATCGGGACCGTGGTCAATATCAACGTGGTCAAACGGGACGCTCCCGCGTGCGAGCAGGATAGGTAGAGCAGGGTGAAGCAAGCGGGTCGTGCATAGTTATATACATATATATTTACACTATTTACAGGGACGGCTCTGCTGTTACAAAGAAATTTCCAACATCATAAAGTATTTATTATTGCTTATTATGTACACTGCTCGTACGACGATTCATTATCCGCGTATCATTCTTGTCGCAGTATCGATTGCATGTCATGGTTCGTCGAAGAACTAAAGAAATTTAGCGCAACGTGTAAAAACAATTTTATCAGTTAATGTCCCCATAGTAAATTTAACACACAATGAATGAAAAAATTTCATAGTGCGACGCATTGCCATATATGCGAAAAACCATTCGTCCAAGATGATACACGTGTACGCGATCATTGCCATCTGACCGGGCGATAAAGATGTCCCACGCATTTAAATTGCAATTTAAATTATAAAGATTCTTTTTGCATTCCAATAGTTTTTCATAATTGATCCGATTACGACGCGCATTTTACTATAAAGGAAATAGCTACAGCGTTCGAAGGGGGAATCGAGTTACTTCCGAAAACAAAGGAAAAATATATATCATTTACAAAAAATGTTAAACTTGCCGAAGAGAAATCGAAAAATCATATTAAATTACGTTTTATAGATTCGTATAATTTTCTTACAACTAGTCTCGATAAATTAGCATCATTTTTAAATAAAGACTGTGGGTTGTTTTTGACGCCTGTTCGTTTTCGGAAGATAGCGCCGGGAAGAGGTAGAGTGTAGATAGGTGAAGTCGATCAAGAGACTTCGTTCTATGTGACAAACGAGAATATATTTACAGTATGTACAATGTCTAAGGTTTATAATTTATGGCGGCTCTGAAAAGGGCCGTTTGAAGGCATTCCGTCCAATGATACGGGGCTCGGTCGTCGAGATCCTGAGTGGCTCGAGGTTCGATGAAGTTGGCCGAGCCATCAGTGCAGGCGCGGCTTTGAGCGCCGGTGGAGTCCCTGAAAAAAAATGTGGCTTTAGCTCACTTTTTGGCGTTAGTACGTTGATAGGAAGTTTGACTGGCAAAGTGATTGATGTAGTCGTAAAATCAAGTCATTGCCAAAGCTGCATTTATTGGAAAAATAAAGATAAAAATACAGAAGAATATGCAGTTTGGTACGATCAACATGAAGAAAACTGCTCTGTAAACCATTCAGGGTCAGCTGGTAAAATGGAAATGGACAGCATAAAAGAAATGTTTTCAAGATCGGAA